GTACATTCACAGAGTTCGATTATGGAACTAAAGACACTGAAGAATATAATAAAAAATAAAAAAAATATTAAGCAGTCTGTGTGGTAACTTGACCTAACCCGAAACCCTTTTCCCTTTTTACTTTCCTTATAGGATAATCGGCGAAACTTACATATTTTGCAATATTTTACTAAAACATGTCAATAAATCAACAAATAAATCTACTTTTAGCTATTTATATCATTTTTATTTTGTAAAATTTTGTCAAAAGTGATCAAAAAAAAACCCCTGAATTACTTCAAAAATAGTGTTTTTTTGACTTTTCTTCTTAAATGTAGCTTGTTTTTAGACAAAAAACTTCCTTATTTCGAGAAATTTGGTCAAAATAAACCAAAATTACTCGATTTTCACACAAATTACGTTATTTTAGCTCCAAAAAGTCACTAAACTGCGTCAAAACTTGAGGCAGGAACGACTTTATTTTCAAAAATTTAATCAAAACAAGCCAAAAACCAGCGAATTTTGTCAAAACTGGTCAAAGATCAACTAGTATTCTCAAAATTGATGTTATTTTAACCTGCTTTGAGCAATTTAGCTAATTTTTAAGCTAGAAATTGACTCATTTTTATCAACAAATCAAAAAACGATRTGAATTAAGATTTTGTCAAAAGTGGTCAAAAAATCACCGAATTACCTGAAAAATAGTGTTATTTTCACTTTTTTTGTTAATTTAGCTCGCTTTTAGGCAAGAAACTTACTTATTTCAAGAAATTTAGTAAAAATAAACCAAAATCACTGGATTTTCACACAAGTTACGTTATTTTAGCTGCCAAAAATCATTAAATTGCGTCAAAGCTGGCGATATTTAAACTTTTCTTTTATGGACTTTGCTTTTTTTGAGACAGGAACGATTTAATTTTTTAAAATTTAGTCAAAACAAACCAAAAACCAGTATATTTTGTCAAAACTGATAAAAGATGAACTAATATTCTCAAAGTTAAGATTATTATAACCTGCTTTGAGCATTTAGCTAATTTTTAAGCTAGAAATTGACTATTTTTGATAAACAAATTTAAAAAAATCTAAACTAGGCCAAAAATTGAGCTCTGTTTTTAATGATTTAAGACATTTTTTCTCAGGATTTTTTATTTTCCAAGATTTTGTAAAAATGGCCAAAAAATAACTAAATTATCGCAAAGTTGGGGCTATACTATATTTGACTTTTTTTCAATGAATTTACCCAAAATTTCTTTTGGAATCAGAAACTATTTTATGTTAAAAAATTTAGTCAAGACAATACAAAACTTTATAAAAATTACAATATTTTTGCATTTTTTAAGTAATTTAGGTCGTCTTTGGGCGATTTAGCTAACTTTTTAGCTAGAAATTGACCCCTTTTTGTGAAAAAATATTTAAAAATTTTTTCGAATTAGGCCAATAATGTCGTAATTTGTGGCTGTTACTGTTACATAGTTTTTGATTACGAAATTTATTTATTTTGCTAAAACATGTCAAAAAATTAACAAATAAAGCTACTTTTAGCCATTTTGTCACAAAAGTGGTCAAAAAAATCACCGAATTACTTCAAAAATAGTGTTTTTTGACTTTTCTGCTTAAATTTAGGTTGTTTTTGAGCAAGAAACTTCCTTACTTAGAAATTTAGTCACAATAAACCAAAATCACTCGCATTTTGACACAAAGTACGTTAATTTAGTTCCAAAAAATCACTAAATTGCGTCAAAACTGCCGCTATTTTAACTCTTCTTTTATGGATTCTGATTGTATTTGAAGCAGGAACGATTTTATTTTCAAAAATTTACTCGAAACAAGACAAAAACCAGAGAATTTTTGTCAAAACTAGACAAAGATCAACTAAAATACTCAAAATTGCTGTTATTTTAACCTTCTTGATTTTGATCAACAAATCAAAAAAAGACCTGAAATAGGACAAAAATTTAACTCTGCTTTTAACGATTAAAGACATTTTTGTCAGGATTTTTTATTTTTCAAAATTTCGTAAAAATTGTTAAAAAATCACCAAATTATGTCAAAGTTGGCGCTATATATTTGATTTTTTTTTCAATGAATCTACGCAAAATTTGTTTTTGAATCAAGAACTATTTTACGTTAAAAAATTCAGTCAAGTCAAGCCAAATATAATATAAAGGTTAGATAACTAGATATAACAGAAATATAAGAAAGAGAAAAAAGTAGGTTATATAACCACGCGTATATATTGATTAAATAACCATTTTAACTTAATCTTGACACTAGGCGTCACATTTTTGAGCCAGAAAATATATTACGTTGTTATATAACTTTTATATAACTATGCTACTACAACAAGAATGGTTCTCTGAATTGTTAATTTATAAAGTGGTTATTTTTTATTAATGTTAATTGAATATATTCATTTCAAACATTAGTAACATTACTGTTGTTGCATTAGTTGATTGCACACATGTAATTATGCCGAGTCAGTATGGGTATGGCCATATTCTTAGAAAAATAATATTTGTTACAAATTTAACACAAAACAAACTATTTGTGTTTGTAAAATGTTCTCTAACAATAATTTTAGCCATATTTGCACTTTATAATACCTACAGGAAGTTCTCTGACAGATTATTTGTGATCAAAGTAACAGGTTTTGTTTACATTTGTCTAGATTTGTTGTACATAAGTTCGATTGTAATTGCTGAACTGAGATTTGGAGTTACGTTTTTAAACCTCGTTAACAATTTAATCAATGTGGAAGAACAATTATCTGAARTCTGCACTGTTAAAATAAGAAAAAGTTCAAGTGTTGTTGTGCTACTTATAACAAGCTTTTTGTCTTATTTTATAATTGTTGGATGTATTATAAGTTTTGTGTTAGCTGATGGATATTCAAATGAATGGAACAATCACAGCCATGTTGTCCATTCTTTTAACTCTGCCATAATCAAAACTTGGACACATATCAAATACACTACGATATTTTTCATAATTTCAAAATACTTTGAAGAGTTAAATACGATTTTTCGTTGCTCACACACAAAAAGAAGACAAGTTATGCATTTACATAAAAGATTAATTGACATTTCGAGGAATATGAGTTCTATTTTTTCTTTCATTCTGATATTTTGGGTTGGTTTTTATTTTGTACATCTTGTGGCAAGAATCATCCAAATTTATTGCATGTTTGCACTAGGAACAAGAAGCATTCAAAATAATGAACTTATTGAGTTGTTTGTGGACACTTTTAGGTTGTTTGTCGTGGTTTGGGTCAGCAAAAAATGCATGTTTCAGGTGGATTATTGCGTGCGTAAGATATTACACTAAAAGAGTAAATTTCAGGCAAACGAAATAAAAAATATCATTTGTAAAATTTTAATTAATACAAAAAACAGACTACAAAGAAAAGAGGTAAGACTGTGTTTTACAGGCAAGTAAATTCGAAGAAATTTCAGCTGAATGCTTATGGATTACAAATGTTTCACGAGTCTTTGGAAATAACAGCAGGGAGATGTTTCGTTGTCGATTTAACCTTCATTTTTACAGTAAGTTGAAGTGTTTGTCAATTTAATAGTAACAAAATTCGACCAGATTGTAACAGCTGCCAGCAACAATGTTGTAATAATTTTACAGTTTTTGTATTACGACAGTCAGTACATTCACAGAGTTCAATTATGGAACTAAACACAATGAAAGATATAATAAAAAATAAACAAAATTCTGTGTGATAACTTGACCTGACCCGAAACCTTTTTCCCTTTTCTCTCTATCTCTCATTTCACTTCTCTCTTCTTTCTTTTCTGTTCTTTTTTTACGTCTTCAAAAAGTGTTTTTTTTTGTTTTGTTCATAAAAATGCTTTCAAAATCATATAATTCAAAATTATCTGTTTAAAACAATATTATTGCAATATCTTTTATTCTCTCTATTTCTTCTAGTCTCTATCCTCCTATTTTAGTCTTCTTTTTTTCTTTTTTTTCTATGTTATTTACATTTTTTTCAAACATGTTTTTTCTCTAATTTTTAAACTATTTCAGGTATAATTAATAATAGTAATAAGATTTATTGTTCTCTAAATGAAATACAAAAATAAATACATTCAGGGTGCGCCAAAACTTACAGAAAAATGCCATGCCACTTTGACTCTATTTATTTCTGTGGGAAAAATAATTTTCCAAGTTTTTTTTGCTACAGGGTATTAGAAGGAAGCTGTATCCAAATTGTAACTCTGTTTAATGTTATTTGTGGATTTTATTGTCAAAATTTTTGTGCCTTTGCTAAATAATTATAAAAAAGTGGCAAATGTCAAAAAGTAAATGTCAAAATTTTTTCATAGATAACATTTTTTAAATATTTTTTTCTATGTTCGTGGCATTTTATCTTACTTGAAATTTTTCTCTGAAGCGAGGGTTTAGATACACATTGTATTGTATTGTTTTCGGGAAAAATTGGAAAGAAAAGAGTTGTTTTTCTTGACGAATTCTGTTAGTAGTGGTTAAGACACCCTGTACAAAGTGTTTTCTTTATACTGCAAAAAATATCGCTCACATATTCTACATCAAACGTAACAGATTTGTCAAATAAACGATAATCCTAGTGTGAGGTAAATGTTGATAAAATGTGATAGTGCAAATTCTACTCAAGGGCGAGGCCCCCGATAATTTTTTGAGGCCTATAAGGGTCTATAAATGTCGACAAAATCTGATAGTGCGGGTTCTAGACGGGGGCGAGCG